CCGCCCACTGTGGCCCCACCGCAGCCAGAAACGCCAGCGGCCGGCGTCCGGGGAGAAGAGCAGTGTGGATGAATGGGGCTTACATTCAGGCAAAATCCCCGCGTTTGCCTTAAACGTCCCAACAGCCAATGAGAACGGGACGTGGTAACAGACTCCACCGGCGGCAGAGGCCCGTGCCGCTGGGATCCAAGTTTCCCCGACTGCCCTTCCTGACGGTCCCTTTGTCTTGGCTGCCAGTCGTGGTAATTATTTCCAAGTAGTGCATTTTTTTTTTTTTTTTTGACAGGCAGAGTTAGACAGTGAGAGAGAGAGACAGAGAGAAAGGTCTTCCTTCCATTGGTTCACTCCCCAAATGGCTGCCACGGCCAGCGCTGCGCCGATCCGAAGCCAGGAGCCAGGTGCTTCCTCCTGGTCTCCCATGCGGGCACAGGGCCCAAGCACTTGGGCCATCCTCCACTGCACTCCCTGGCCACATCAGAGAGCTGGACTGGAAGAGGAGCAACTGGGACAGAATCCGGTGCCCTGACCAGGACTAGAACCCGGGGTGCTGGCGCCGCAGGCGGAGGATCAGCCTAGTGAGCTGTGGCGCCAGCCCCCAGCAGTGCTTTAAACTTGGGGGGGAGGCAGCCCTCCTGTCATATACGACATCCAAACGCTTCGGCATTATTAAACGCACATGCACGCATGATCAGAAATCCCGCTTGGAAGCCAGTCAGGAGAGCTTTCAAAGGCAACGGGCTCCAGAGAGAGCGGGCAGGTGGCGTGGGGCTCAGTGCAAGCGACAGGTGACGGCCGGGGTCTTGCTCCAGAAGCAGCCTGGCCTCGCCACTTCCCGCCCTTCCTTAGCAAGGGTTCTGAGGACGGACACCAGGGCTCACGTCCCCCCGCCATGTGGCCGTCAGACGCCTTGGGCCACAGCCTCGGCTGCCCCATCTGTGCAATGGGCCACATTCCTTGCAGCCTGGCCACTCTCTGTACTCCCTCTCCTGGAGTCTGGTGTGCGTGAGCTCTTGCCGCCTCCACCCAACAACACAGCGACGCAGCCATCCCAAAAGCACACGTTCCTCACGTATCGGCACGGTGCGTGATGGCAGCGACCTGGCTCAGCCCTGTGCCTCTCCTCCTCCCCGGGGAGCAAGCCTGGGCAGGTGTGCCGAGCTCCCCCTGGTGGCCATGGGACATTCCACTCTGCCCATGGTGGAGGCCGTGACAAGGGGACAACGCCACAGGCGTGGGGAGGGGGAAGTGGGGGCCCCGGACGCAGCCCGGCACGGGTGTCGGCTGTCAGCATGCCTTGCTTTCAGGGGGGCTGCTCTTCCTCGCCCTCAGTTCCCATGGTCTGGGGGTGCTGACTCCAGCCGTCTGACCCGTCTGCGGTGACTGTTCGAGAGCACACACGTGACCCGAGTCAGTCCAGGCCTTTGGTTGGGGCAGTTGGGAAAGGCAGCCCTGAGACTGTGGAGCCGGGCCCCAGTGCTGGGGCCCAGCAGGTGAGGCCCCCACTGTGACGCCGGCATCACAGGCAAGGCCCCCACTGTGATGCTGGCATCCCACACTGGAGCGCAGGTGCCAGTCCCGGCTGCTCTAAGCCAGTTTCCTGCATATGCACCTGGGAAGGAAGCAGATGACGACCTGAGTGCCGGGGGCCCTGTCACCCACATGGGAGACCTGGATGGAGCTCGTGGCTCCTGGCTTCAGCATGGCCCAACCCTGGCTCTTATGGCCATTTGGAGAGTGAACCAGTGGATGGAAGATCTCTCTGTCATACTGCCTTCCAAATAAATAACTTAAAAAAAATAGGATTGGCCGGCGCCGCGGCTCACTAGGCTAATCCTCCGCCTAGCGGCGCTGGCACACCGGGTTCTAGTCCCGCTCGGGGCGCCAGATTCTGTCCTGGTTGCCCCTCTTCCAGGCCAGCTCTCTGCTGTGGCCAGGGAGTGCAGTGGAGGATGGCCCAGGTGCTTGGGCCCTGCACCCCATGGGAGACCAGGAAAAGCACCTGGCTCCTGGCTCCTGCCATTGGATCAGCGCGGTGCGCCGGCCACAGCGCGCCAGCCGCGGCGGCCATTGGAGGGTGAACCAACGGCAAAGGAAGACCTTTCTCTCTGTCTCTCTCTCTCTCACTGTCCACTCTGCCTGTCAAAAAAAAAAAAAATAGGATTGCTGAGGGGCTGGCACTGTGGCGTAGCGGGTAAAGCCGCCGCCTGCAGTGCCAGCATCACATATAGGCCCTGGTTCGAGTCCTGTCTTCTCCACTTCCAATCCAGCTCTCTGCTATGGCCTGGGAAAGCAGCAGAAGATGGCCCAAGTCCTCCCGGCTCAGCAATCCTATTTTTTTTTAAAGATTTATTTATTTATTTGAAAGTCAGAGTTACACAGAGAAAGGAGAGGCAGAGAGAGAGAGAGAGAGAGAGAGAGAGAGGTCTTCCATATGATGGTTCACTCCCCAACTGGCTGCAACAGCTGGAGCTGGCCCAATCGGAAGCCAGGAGCCAGGAGCTTCTTCCGGGTCTCCCACATGGGTGCAGGGGCCCAAGCGATTGGGCCATCTTCCTCTGATTTCCCAGGCCATAGCAGAGAGCTGGATCAGAAGTGGAGCAGCCGGGACTTGACCCGGCACCCAAATGGGATGCCGGCACTGGAGGTGGTGGTTTTACCTGCTACGCACGGCGCCAGCCCCTAAGGCTTTTCACTGTTGAAATGAGAGATTTGAAGCAAACTGACAGCTCAACATGACCAGGCACAGAGAATTAGAACCTTTTTTTTGTTTGTTTGATGCGAGTCTATGTCCCATGCGTCACCTGCAACCACGGCGGCATCGGCCAGCACATCCAGGTGTGGAGGACGCTGGGCGCGGCCATCATTAAGATGCTCCTGTTGAGGTGGGTGCTGTGGCACAGCAGGTTAAGCTGCTGTTTGTGCCGCCGGCGTCCCCCACCACCCGAGCGCCAGTTCAAGTCCCACCTGCTCAGCTCTGACCCAGCTCCCCGCTAACGCCCCTAGGAAGGCAGTGGAAGACGGCCAAGAGCCCGAGTCCCTGCACCCACGGGGACCGAGCTCCTGGCTCCTGGCTCAGCCCTGGCCATTGCGGCCATCTGGGGAGTGAACCAGCAGACGGAAGACCTCTCTCTCTCTAACTCTGCCTTTCAAATAAATAATTAAATTTAAAAAAAAAAAGTATTGGAACAAACTCTCCAAGACTTGAACACACTTAACTCCCCTGAAACAGCGACTTAGCCGCAGCTCCTCCCTAACCAGGGATCACCTTCAGAAAAACCAGCTGAAAAAGTTACCCCGCCTAAAAGCGCAATCGCAAGAAAACTCATCGCCAAAACCATTTCAGGATAGAACAGAAACATAAACGATGGAGCACTTTCCTCGAGAAACGCCAAGCGCCTAGGGGCCGGGAGGACGCTCGAGCGGCAGCCACTCCTGGTGACCATGTGGGGAGGGCGGACACCTGGGGAAAGGGCCGAGACGGACAGCACCTGTCCTCCGGGCCGTCCAGGGTCACTCCCGCCCGGCTCCCAGAACTGAGAAACGGAGGGGCTCACCTGCTCCCTCCATGCTCCCGCCCACGGCTTCTTGTCTGCTGATTGGCTGAGGCAGGGCCCACGTGACACGGTTCTGGCCAATCACACAACCAGGCAGTTTCCACCCATCCTCCCATATAAAACGAGAGGCGGGCCGCACTCGCTCCATGCTTTGTGCCCCGGATGCTGCGGAGTCTGGGTGTGCGGCACCATCTTGTGTACCCGAGGCAGCCACTGTGGGACATACACACAGCACAGTGCCTGGCCTGGCTGCAGCCCCACACATATGTGCTGAAGGAATGCCGGAGAGGCAGAAGTGGGCCTCTGGTGAATTACAGAAGGCCCGAAATTATTAATGAGCCTTCAACCCCGCCTAAACAGAGGACATCCGGCTCCCTGAGCCCTCAGAGCCCATTTCTCTTTCAGTCTAAGCTTTCCGTTACGTGCTGCTGGGATGGCACAGCGGTGGGGGATGCAACGTCTCTTCTCTGACACAGCCCAGCAATCCCCTGGTCTTCCAGGCTGTGCCCATTTCACGGAGGAGGAACCAGACTCCGAGTCCCTAGGGCCTCCCCTCCTTCCCGGCGCCCACCTCCAACACCAACAACTTCCGAAGGTGCTTTCACGCAACCAGGGGAGAGGAAAAGAGAAAGAGGGACCTTTCCCAGCCCGGGGCCTTCCTCCATTATTCGAGCGGAGCCCCAGGGGGTCCTCCGAGTCGTTGCCCACCCCCTTCAGAGCCGGATGTGGGTCTGCCCCTCCTTGGCAGTCCCTCCCCCGGCTGTGGGGATTGGCTCGGGCGTGGCATGTGACCCACGTTTGTCCAATCAGAATGGTTCTGGGCCCACCAGGTCCGCATGCTGGGCGGGACACTGGGTGTGGGATTGGCAAATAGAAACTGGGTTTGGAGCCTGGGCGTTAACTTTCAAAAAGTCCGTGGAAAAATGGAATTAGAAGTTTATCTTTCAGATCTATGCAGAGATTTTTTTTCACAGTTTGCATTTTCCAAGAACTTTTCGAAGACCTCTTATATACATGGATTCCAAAAAAAAGGTCAACATCTTTGTAGTCCATGTTTCCACCAACTTCTGGAAGCATCTTTTTCCCATGAGTCCATCCTTTCTCCTCGTGGAAGCTTCTAGACTCCCTGCCCCGGATTCTCTCCTGTCTTGGACCCTCACTTTTCTGACCTGGAGACCCAGAGAAGTCAAGGGACCCCCACAAAGTCCCCACAACAAAGCAGCCCATTGCCAAGGCTGGAGCAAGGGTGCTAATGGGGTCTGCAGACCCCAAGCCCTGTGCTGCCTTCCCCTCTGCCTGCCCCAGGGCTGCTGCAATCCCGCGCACATGTCACAAGCCCCCCCGTTCTCCCAGCGCCCCCGTCCTCGCCCTCGCCCCTGCCCCAGGCAGCTTCGAGTTCTGCTTCCGGTCTTGGTGTCACCCCATGCCTGTTACTGTCAGCCCCACCACAAATGAATGGACATTTATTGAGCACCGACGAATCCCAGACACTCCAGAGAACACACAGAGGGCCTGGCCCCACTCCCAGGGCCCCCACCCCTCAGCAGAGCCCCCACCGCCCACACGGGGGGGGGGAGCAGGTTGGGGCTGGGGGCTTGGCCGGGCAGGGCAGTGCAGCTGGCACAGGGTCCTCAGGCTTCTGCCAGGTTCCAGCTGGGGGTGGGCAGGGGTCACGTGGCTTTCCTGAGAGCAGAGTAAATAAATAATGGAGAGGCAGGCAGGGGTCCCCCCAGGCAGAGGGTCCTGGCGTTGGCTGATGTGACTCCATGGGAGTGAGGCAGGTGGCCAGGAGCCCGTGCTCTGGTGGGGAGCACAAGCGGGGACCAGAGCGTCCTGGGCCTCGCCAGCATCTCCACCAGCCCTCACCTCTGAGGGTCAAAGGGACATGTGGGGGGACACCCAGGAAGTGCCACTGAAATGCAGGCGGACTAGAACAGGCAGGTGCAGGGGCTGGGGTTGGGCTGCAGCCCCTAGAGGGCGGGGGCATCATCAGTCCGCCACTTGCGGGGGGTGACTCTGCTGGTGGCCAGGGCCACTGGGGTTCCCCACGTGAGCGAGTGGCACCACGACCTCGTCCGGGTTTGAATTGTTCTTCAGCTCCACCACGCGGGGCACCACAGAGGACCAGCGGTCTGTACGGGGAGCAGGCGGGAGGGAGGGAGAGAACACAGGCACAGCGTGAGCACCTACTGTGTACCACGTGAGCACCTGCTGTATACTGGTCACTCCGCAGTGATCTAAATGTCCATTTTAGAGGTGGAAACTGGGGCTCAGAGAGGTCAAGGTGCTCACCTGGGAGCATGGGGGGGATGGAGGAGGAGGAGCCAGGATTGGCGCTTGGGGTCACGATGCCTTGAGCGCCCTTGGTGTCTGCAGCGCTCACGCTTTAGTGGAAAAACGAGGGGCTTCTCCACACCAGAGTGCCCAGGGACCCTGTCCTACCTGCCCACACCAGCTCCTGTCTCAGCACAGGGAGGGGCCAGGGCAGAGCCACCAAGGGGAGACGCCCCAGGCACGCACGAGCAGCCACGGGAGCTCCGTGGCCAACCCATCTCGCCCTCCCGTTCTCCACATGTAGCCACTCAGTCCCAGGAAGGCACTGGGATGGCTCACAGCAGGGGAGTGACAGGAGCGGGCAGGGCTGCCTCCACCGAGCGGCTGCACTCACCCCTCCGGAGGCGGCCCACAGTGTGCGAGAAGCCGTAGTACTGGTACGTCTCATTCTTGCCCGGGTCCTCGTTGATGATGCCCAAGTTCTGGTTCCAGTGAGACCAGTTCACCTCATCCACCCTGGCGGGGCCAGAGCAGCAGGTTGGGGGGAGCCCCTCCGAGACAGCCCCCCGCCCCTGCAGCCTCCCTGCTCCAGCATCCCCGCACCTCCTCCGTGTATTATGGAAAAACACACGAGAGCCGCCCCGTTAGCCACTTCTCTGTGTGCAGTTCCATGGGCTGAATTTGCAGCCATCTCCATGGTCTGGTTCCAGAATTCTCCATCACCCCAAATGTAACTTCTCCCTCCTGGAAGCTACAACTCCCTATGCCCCCCCCACCCACCTCTGGTCCCCACCAATCAGCTTTTCTGCTTTTTTTAAAAATTTTCCTTTTATTTGAAAGATCTTCTGACTCCTCAGTTGCCCCCTTTGAGCCACAGCACCCCGGTGCACCCCACTGTTTGGTGGCCGTGAGATGCCTCCAGGTCTCCCCAAGGAGCCAGTGGGCGGCCCGCGGGGCGTGGCCCAGGCCCGAGCCCAGCCGTCCTCCTGGGCTAAGCAGTCCAGTTTCACGGCCGGCCTGGGAAGGTGGTGCGCTCAGCGCCCCCACTCCACAGACGAAGAAACTGAGGCTGAGAGAATTCACCAGCTTGGGGGACCTGAGCCCGGGCGAGGCCACGCGGGGCCCCCGCAGCTCCAGGAGTCGCAGCCATCGGAAGGTGCGAGCTGGGGGTGGGGGCACCCTGCTGGCCCACCTTACCTGAAACACCACCTGCGGTCCGGGCTGCCGTCCGAGCTCTTGCCCACGGTCACCATCTCCCCGGAGCGGAAGGCCTTCCGCACGAACACGGGGAAGGAGCGCTCAATGTCCAGGATGGTGGTGGCCCACTGCGGGGAGGGACGGAGGTGCTGAGCCTGCCCTGGCCCACACCTGCCGGCCCCCGTGACGGAGACGAGGAGACAGAGAACCTGGCTTCCCAGCTCCTGCTGGCCCTGCAGGCAGGGCTGGGGGTCCCTGTGCCCGCCGGCGTGCACCAGGAAAGCTCTGGGTGATGCGGGATCCAGTCAGAGAGGCCGCAGCCAAGCCCCTGCCGGGAACTCGGCCGTTGCCATTCAGTGCTGGTAACACTTAGGGAAGGGTGGGGCCTGGGGCCAACCACACAGCAAATGCCCGGTGTAAAGGGGCAGCCGTGGCCAACCCCTCCCCCACAGGAAGCTGGTGCTCCCAGCTCCCAGCGAAGCAGGAAGTGTGGGCCCTGCACTGTGGAGCGTCCAACATTCAAGACCAGAAGTCTACATGTTCACGTGGAATATCCTATTTCTAAAATTTTACATGGGAGCTGGCGCTGTGGCTTAGTGGGCTGAGCCTCTGCCTGAGGCATCGGCATTCCATATGGGCACTGGTTCGAATCCCGGCTGCTCTACTTCCAATTCAGCTCTCTGCTGTGGCCTGGGAAAGTAGTGGAAGATGGCCCAAGTCCTTGGGCCCCTGCACCTGTGTGGGAGACCTGGAGGAGGCTCCTGGCTCCTGGCTTTGGATGGGCCCAGCTCCAGCTGTTGCAACCATTTGAGGAGTGAACCAGCAGATGGGAAGACCTCTCTCTCTCTCTCTGCCTCTCTATAACTCTACATTTCAAATAAATAAATAACTCTTTAAAAATAAATAAATAAAATTTTAAAAATAACACCCCCCCCCCCAGGGGGAATGCTGGGTGGGAGTGGCCCAGACCCAGGGCCAGCCCAGCCTTGTCCACTGGGCCAGGCTGGGGCATGCCAGCCACCTGGGCTCAGCACAGGAGCCCCCCTGCCAGGCAGGTGTTCCCTGCAGCGGTGTGAGTGTGTTGCCCAGAACACGTGGGTTGGAAGCTTAAGCTCCAAAGGCCTATATGAGCGGTGTTTGGGGAAGGGGCCTCTGGGAGGTGGCCAGGGTTAGATGAGGCCAGGAGGGTGGGCCCCCAGGATGGCATCGGTGGGCATTATGAGGGAGAGAGATGAGACCCAGCGCCCTCGCTCTGTCCCTCCATGGGGCGCCCTCTCCCATGTCGCGAAGCCATGAGAAGCTCTGATCAGAGGCCAGCGCCCTGCTCTCCGGCTCCGCAGCCCCCAGGTCCTCGAGCCAAGTAAACCTGTACTCTAAATTATAAACTATGGGGCCCCAGCTGGATGGCTGCAGCACAGACAACGGCCCAAGAGACCCTGAGACCGGCTGTGCCACCCGAGCGCACTCAGCTGTGCCGGCTGCACCTGCGAGCTGAGCCACGGGACAAACTGGACACCAGGACCCGAGGACAGGCAAGAAGTCCCCTCGCTTCCCTCGGAGGCTCTGGCAAGGGGGCAGCAACCTGCGATGCCCAGTGGTCCACACAAGGAAGCGCAGGCAGTGTGGCTCCAGACAGCGCGCCCGCGGGAGGGGGAAGACTGGGGGAGGTGACGGCCGGCCGGCGGACGGGGTGGGGCAGAGAGTGGGGCTGGGCAGGGTGGAGGGTGGGCCTGGCCGGTGGGCGGGGCTGGGTGTGGCTGGCCGGAGGGCAGGGCTGGCGGGGCTGGGTGGGGCTTGGCAGCAGGCGGGGCTGGGCGGGGCTGGGTGGGGCTGGCCGGCGTGGGGCGGGGCGGGGCGGGACAGGGAGGCAGGCGGGGCTAGGCGGGGCTGGGCGGGGCGGGGCGGCATGGGGCGGGGCTCACCTGCAGCTTCCAGATGTGCTTGCTCTCCTTGGACACCTGGCCCACCGTCTCCCCCATGAGGGCGATGAGCATGTTGAGCAGCAGGACGAAGGTGAGGATGATGTAGGTGACGAGCAGGATGATGAAGACCACGGGGTACTTGGCGCTGCCCAGCATCTCCAGGTCGCCCATGCCGATGGTGAGCTTGAAGAGGTCCAGGAGGAAGGTGCTGAACGTCTCGCTGTCGCGGCACGAGGGGTAGGTGGGCGTGGTGCAGTTGCTCTGCCCCTCGTCGCACACCTTCATATTGGCGCAGGGCGTCAGCAGGGAGACCAGGGCTGTGGGCGGGACAGGGGCCGCGTGGCTGAGCGCGAGGACTCCAGGTGGCAGGCGGGGAGCGCCGCGCCCCATTGCATAGAACAGACCATGGAGGCTTGGCCAGGACGGAGCGCCGGGTCCCAAAGCCTTGGCCCTCCCCATGCGCTCAGGCTGTTCAGGCAGAGGTCTCAGGGATCCAGGTCTGTGGTTCTCAGCCAGGGGCAAGCCCCCTGCCCCGGGGGCTGGTGGGGGCGGGGCATTTGGCAGTGTCTAGATACACTGGGTGGGACGGCCTGGGACACCACTCAACATCCTAGAGGACCCAGGACAGCCCCTGCCACAGAGCAGTAGCTGGCCCCAAGGGTCTCTAATGATGCCTGTCACTCTTAGCAGCCTTGGGAGTGCTGGAATGCCACCTGGGCTGGTGTGCTGTCTGTCTGTCTCTCCTATCACACACACACACACACACACACACACACACAGAAGGAGGGAAGCTGGCGCCAGGTACCTGTCTGTATTGTCCGAGAACTGGAGAACTTGTGTTCCCTAAGGGCCCTCACCCCCAGCAGAGTCTTAAACGTCCTTTCTCATTAAGCCCAGAGGAAGCTTCAGAGCCCTCAACACAGTTCAGCAGCAACAATGTGTCCCTGAACCAGCCAGGGCCGGGAGCCCAGAGAGGCTCAGCGCCTTCAGTCTCCGGGGAGCCTGCAAACCAGGCTTCATGGTGAGCATGCGCTCGTGGGCTGACGCTATTTAACTGTGTAATGGTTGCTGAACCACTGTGTTGAGGATTCTGCTCTCAGTTCTGTGATCCATTAGCAAGGTCTGCCATGGGCACAGAAATGGGCAACAGCAGCACATGTGTTGTGGTTATGCTATGCCAGTCCCAGACTCCAGATCTAGTGGACCCCAGCAGGGGACGCCTTGGGACCAAACTGACCACTAAGTTGCTATTTTCATTCCCAAGCTCCTGCCTCAGTTTCTCCATTCAGGACTGCAGTGGGGCTGGGACTCCTGACCTGAATCCCAGACTCTTGTAGAAGCCTGGACACTCTGCCCTGTTCTTTCCAGCTCCACCCCTAGGAGGGAGCAGCTGTATCTTGTCCCTGTCTCCCCAGCCATGGTAGATTAATTCCTGAATGGACCCTTGTGTCCGTAGCCCATCCACGTGACTTTCTAGGTCCTCCCATCAAGAAGCGGACTCTGTTTCCCTGCTTTGGCCAACAGACGGCAGGAACAGTGCTGTCCCACAGGAGGTGGATTTGAACACTTCCACTCTTGTTCCTAGAGCCCTGAGAGCACTGTGGGAACAAGCCCAAGGCAGCTGGCTAGACGACGAGTGACCACAGGGAGCAGAGCTGGTGGCCTCCAGCCCAGGCCACCCTGGCTGGACCAGTCAGCTGGCAGCCAACCCACACGCCAACCACAGACGCAGGGGCCTGCTGACCCGCACGCACAAGCAGGAACGGCGGGTGTTGGGTCCGATGTTGTGGCATAGCAGGTGAAGTGACACCTGCATCCCACATGGGCGCCGGTTCGTGTTCCGGCTGTTCCTCCTCCAGTCCAGCTCCCTGCTACTGCGCCCGGGAAGGCCCAGAAGATGGCCCAAGTGCTTGGGTCCCTGTCATCCATGTGGGAGACCCGGATGGAGCTCTTGGCTCCTGGCTTCAGCCTGGGCCAGCCCTGGCTGTTGTGACCATTTGGGAGTGAACCAGCAGATGGGAGACACCTCTCCCTCCCTCCCTCCCTCCCTCCCTTCCTTCCTTCCTTCCTCCCTCCCTCCCTCCCTTCCTTCCTTCTTCCCTCCCTCCCTCCCTCCCTCCCTTCCTTCCTTCCTTCTTCCCTCCATCCCTCCCTCCCTCCCTCCCTTCCTCTCTCTCTCTCTCAAATAAATAAATAAAACTTCTTTTTAAAAAATGGCTGTCA